TTTTTTTTCCCTTTTTTTTTTTTTTTTTTTTTTTGGGTACTGGGCATCAAACTCAGGTCCTTGTACTTTCGAGGCAGGCGCTGGAACCACTGAGCTAAATCCCCAGCCCTATTATACCATTTTTAAGGGGATCATTTGTATCTCTAGTTCCCTTAGCGTCTCACTCAACAAAGCACACTGTAAAACAGATAGAGAAAAACATACCATTATAAACTTTTCTGCTTGCTAATAAAATGCTAAAAATGTACTTGCATATATTTATTTTTTAGTCATTTTAGGTTAATTCTGATTTTTTTTAAATTTTTTTGTAACTAAATTTAGCCATTGGTGGCTTATTTCTTAGGAAAACATTTATTGGTATATTTTAGATATACTGATATAACACTCATCATAGGAAATTTGCACTTGTACATGATACATCCTGCCTCTTTTTTCCCTCCACACCAACCTCCCCTCAAGCCCCCATCCCCTCCCTATATACAAAAAGCTTTGTTTCCATTTTTTCTATTTTAACTTTTTTTTCTTGTCCCTTCTTTCCTTTCTCCCCCTTTATTCCCCTTCCCATTTGAACATTTTTGTCCCATTACTCGGCAACTATTATACATTTAGAAGATATATTTTTAGTTATAATGGGACTCACACTATGTTTCTTTTTTAGTGGTTCAGGGGATCATACTCAGGGATGCTCTAGGTACCAACAAGCTAAATATCTCCAGCCCATTTTATTTTTTTATTTTGAGACAGGGTCTTGTGAAGTCTCTGAATTGCCCAGGCAGGGATGGAACTTTTTTTTTTTTTTTTTTGAGATAGGGTCTCACTGTGCAGTTCAGACTGTCCTCACTATGCAGCTCAGCTCTGATCTCGAACTCTCAATGATCCTCCTGGCTCAGCCTCCCAGAATGCTGGGATTACAGGTGTGTGCCACCACACCTGGCTTTGGGATGGAACTTTTGATTCTCTTGCCTCAGCCTCTCAGAGTTCTGGGATTGTAGGTGTGTGCCACCATCCTTGGCTTTGCTGTGGTTCTCATTCCAAATAGAACTTCATATTATCTATAAAAAGACTAATTAAAAAGATTATGATATCAAGTCCTGAGGAATATTCAAGTATGTCATCATTAACATAGTCCCCAAGGAGCCTCAAGTATAGTTTATGTGCTAATTCAGACTAATATGTGAAAGAAACAAGTACTGGGACCACCCATAAAGTAACATCATTTAAAAACCTGAGATGTTAGATCATATTATTCTCTACCACCACCTGCTGGTTTGCTATTTGAATAGCATCATGAGGAAATGAAGGCTTGGAGAAATTTAGAAATGTTTGCTGAAATATGTAGAAATTAAGTATCATAATTATCTGAGGTTTTCTTGGAAATAATTCAGACAAAATACAGATGAGGAACATAGGGAAAAATGCTGAGCACTGTTGGATCTAGGTGTTGAGTATACATGGCTGTTCATTTTAGCATGTTGCCCTTCTGTACACCTTCATCGTAAAAAAGCCATTTTTGGGCCAGGGATTTAGCTCAGTGATCCCATTGCCTGCCTTGCAAGCACAAGGTCCCGAGTTCAATCCCTGGGACCAATAAATAAACAGCCAACTTTACTAGTAATCAATGTAAATGGAAGTAACAATAACAATGAGCTATAACAAAAAACTAGGGAAGTGACATACGGGTCAATTGTGACTCTAATACAAGACATTTTTGGATCCCTTTGCTTGTTGTCCGCAGCATTAACTGAAAGAAAATAAAACGCACATTTGTAAGAAGTCAAATCAAAGTGATTTAAGAAACATTTTTAAAATTCTAAGATACAGAACCCCCACCCCCAAAAAAGGCATAGCATTAACAAGTTTTAAAGTTGTGCTAGGGTCTGAACCTAGAGCCTGGTGAATCCCAGGCACGCCCTCTACCACTGAGCCACACCCCCAGCCCCTGTAGTGAGTTACATCTCTAGCTGTTTTTGAGACAGGGCAACTGCTAAATTGTCCAGGCTGGGCTTGGATTTGTAATCCTCCTACCTTAGCCTGCCAGAGTGCTGTAATTACGGGTATGCATGCAAAGCCCTATAGCAAGTGTGAGTGTGAGTGTGTGTGTGTGTGTGTGTGTGTGTGTTTTCTAGTGTTAGGGAATGAACCCCAGGCCTTGTGCGAACATTCCACCACTGAGCTACACCCCCAACCTCCTCCACACAACATTGTAGTTCAGGTTGACCTTGAACTCACTATGTAGTCCAACTGGCCTCAAACTCACAGCAATCCTCCTGCCTCAGCCTTAGTCTTCTGAGTGCTGGGATGACAGGCATGCACCACCACCCTGGCCTCAAAAAAATTTTTTCTTTTTTGGCGGTACCAGGGATCAAACTCAGGACCTTCCACTTGCAAGGCAGGTGGTGGAACCACTGAGCTAAATCCTTAGCTCTTAAAAAGTGACTTTTTAGGCTGAGGCAGGAGGATCTCTGTGAGTTCAAGACTAGCCTGGGCTACATAGTGAGTTCCAGGTTAAGTCTCAACTACATAGTGAGACCCTGTCTCATGAAACAAACAAACAAAAAAAAAAAGTGATTTTTTTGTGGGGGCGGGGATACTGGGGTCCTTGAGCTAGCAAGGCAGGTGGTGGAAATGACTTACAGAATATTTTCTAGGGAAAAACTTAATCTGATATTTTAATACTCTCTTTTACAAACTAGCTTTTTTTTTTCTTTTTGATACCAGGTATCGAACTGGGGACCTTGCGCTTGTGAGGCAGGCGGTGGCACCACTGAGCTAAATGCCTAGCATCACCTACTTATTTGAAATGACAGGAGCTCTGATTGTAGAGGGCTTGGTAGGGATGACAGTTATGAAGGATCTGACCAACCGATTTTTATGTGAAAGAATTTACTCACCCAGAATCTCATCAAAGATTTTGTACAAGCCAGGAACAAAAGTGACTTCTCTGTAGTTAATGCCAATATCTTCATCATAAACCCACATGTGCTAGAAACAAGGCAAAGAAATATTTATTGTTTGGTCCTAATGTCTGCAAGGTCTTCTAGGTTAAGTACTCTTCTAGGTTAGGTTAAGTACTAGTTAACAATATATATCCACAGGGATGCGAATTAGGCCAATTCCAGTGACACTTCCTACATGAGGCACCAAAAGATTAATCTGGAAAATCTATGTATTTCATTCAACCACTAGGCAAGTGGGGTCCAACTAGCTGGGTTTTTTTTTTTTACCTGGGTCACTAATTCCACAGAGCCAATGTAGGTGTCTGGGCGGAGCAATATGTGTTCCAACTGCGTCTTCTTTTGATAGATTCTTTCAACGGACAGCCTTTTCTTGGCATCTTCGTTTTTCTTCGTTTTGTTCATTTGCATGTTTTCATTCACAGGCTGGCCATTGGGGGTGGGGGGAGAAAAAAATTTTTTTTCCCCCCGAACCGTTAAGGTTTGGCAGAAGTAAGGCTTCGTCTCGCTTCTGAGCACAGCAGGCCGCA